GGATCCTCGAAACCATGAATGCCAATTAAAACAACTGTTTCACCTCTTGTTTCAACATGTTGATGTACTTTGCTTCTCGTGAAATTGATCTTGATAAAGAAAATAAACGAAATAGATATAAATTACCAAAATACCCCGCTTGTCTTTGTCTTTTAAAAAGCATTCCGATTAGATGGAATGAATAACACAACCACATTGGAGCCTTAGGACTTCAAGTTTTCCCCTGTTTATTCTTCATGTTAACACACTGGGAAAATGGAGCTCCATGGAGGCCATCCCATGACACATGGCCAGTGGTCACTCATGGGAATCCATCTTGCCAGCATGCTTTTTTTATGTCAGTAGAGACTTGAGAAACTGCAAGTCGCTTCTGGTGTGAGAGAATTGGCCACCTGCAAGGACGTTGCCCAGGGGATACCCGGATGTTTTGATGTTTTACCAATCTCTGTGGGAGGCTTCTCTCATATCTCCGCACAAGGAGCTGAGCTTATAGAGGGAGCTCATCCGCGCTCTCCCCAGATTCGAACCTGCGACCTGTCGGTCTTCAGTCCTGCTGGCACAAGGGTTTAACCCACTGCACCATCGGAGGCTCCTGCCAGCATGCTGAAATGGAGAGAAAGCAAGGGGAAGTGGGAAGAAGACAGGAAAAGGACATGGGAAGGCTCTCCATCCCCAAAGACAGACCTTGCTGGGAGAAAATGGGGGTAAGACAGGTCTCCACTTTTCCCAATGCTCTCTCCCGCTTCCCTACCACCTGTCTGAAGTCCTGAAGTCCTAAAACACCATAATTTCTTCTTTCTATTTCCAATTGTTTCCCACTTGCTTAGAATGTGTATGGCTCATTCAAGTTTCAAGTTTTAAAATAACTCAAAATGACTGTTAATTGGAAATTTATAGTTACAAAAGAATACCACAACGTCTGTTGGAAACACTGGGAAACTATGTTAGTACACTTTGACAGAAATTAGGCTCCATTGATAAACTTCAGTAGACACTCAAGAATGCAAGTCCAGTCAGTCTTTCTTGCCCCATTGTGCTCTTTGCCTATGTTTTAAACATATGTTTTAAGAGTTGAAAACGATCTATATGTATGTGTGTATATATATACACATACAAACACAAACACACATGAACAAACACACTTTTAATTTGCTTTCTAAAAATAAAGATCAATGACCAATACACATTATCAATTTTTTAGAAACTATATAAAATACATTGTCGAAGGCTTTCATGGTCGGAATCACTGGGTTGTTATAGGTTTTTCGGCCTATATGGCCATGTTCTAGAGGCATTCTCTCCTGACATTTCGCCTGCATCTATGGCAAGCATCCTCAGAGGTAGTGAGGTCTATTGGAACTAGGAAAATGGGTTTATATATCTGTAGAATGACCAGGGTGGGACAAAGGACTCTTGTCTGCTGGAGCTAGGTGTGAATGTTTCAACTGACCTCCTTGATTAGCATTTGATGGCCTGGCTGTTGTTTGGTGTGACTTGTTTGTGCCTGGAGCAATCTTTTGTTGAGAGGTGATTAGATGTCCCTGATTGTTTTCCCTCTGTTGTTTTGCTGTTGTAATTTTAGAGTTTTTTAATACTGGTAGCCAGATTTTGTTCATTTTCATGGTTTCCTCCTTTCTGTTGAAATTGTCCACATGCTTGTGGATTTCAGTGGCTTCTCTGTGTAGTCTGACATGGTGGTTGTTAGAGTGGTCCAGCATTTCTGTGTTCTCAAATAAAATGCTGTGTCCAGGTTGGTTCATCAGGTGCTCTGCCAACAGACTTCACTACCTCTGAGGATGGTTGCCATAGATGCAGGCGAAACATTAGGAGAGAATGCCTCTAGAACATGGCCATATAGCCCGAAAAAACCTACAACAACCTATATAAAATACCTTTAATCTGGTAGTGAATTATTCAAAAATTACTTGAGGGTTTAGGAGAAATTAAAGTATAACCTTTTAAAGCAAGCACAAATTATCACAGTTGTTATATCATAAAGTTTATTTAAATTTCAGTTTTTCTTATGGAGTTTTTTGGGATTGCAATACCACAAATGGATGAGGCTTGACACAAAACAAAAGCACAGCCCTAAAAGACACTGCCAGGATAATCACCGTAATGAATTTAAGTAATATAATGAAGACTTACATTTAATCTGAGTGTATGTATCTTACTCAATGGCTGAGAGAGTGTGACTGTGCCTTTCAGGGGGTTATACTATGAGCCTGAACAAATTGTTGTTGTTGTTGTTTATTCATTCAGTCGTTTCCGACTCTTCGTGACCTCATGGACCAGCCCATGTCAGAACTCCCTGTTGGCCGTCACCACTCCCAGCTCCTTCAGAGTCAAGCCAGACATTTCAAGGATGCCATCCATCCATCTTGCCCTTGGTCGGCCTCTCCTCCTTTTTCCTTCCATTTTCCCCAGCATTATTGTCTTCTCTAATCTTTCCTGTCTTCTCATGATGTGGCCAAAGTACTTCATCTTCACATCTACTATCCTTCCCTCCAATGAGCAATCGGGCTTTATTTCCTTAAGTATGGACTGGTTGGATCTTCTCGCTGTCCAAGGCACTCTCAGAATTTTCCTTCAGCACCAAGTAGGACCTGCCAAGTCCTCTCAATCAATGTAGAAAATGGCTCCCCCTATGGCACAAAGCAAACAGCCTCTTCCAGGAAGGGCCCAACATGCATGAGGGAAATATATAATTATGAAACCCTATGAATATATAAATATGAAACCTGGCATGAGGTGAAAATCCAGCCCCAAACCAGGCAGTTGGCCACATAATTAAGATTTTATACTTGCAGTAGTGTGTCCGTACCTTGCTCTGAAAGTACGCCTGCAAAATTTCCAGAACAGCCTGAGGCAACAACAGCCCAAAGACATGAAGCCCGACGTGAAGCCTGAACAAAATTGAGAGCTCCAAACGAAGGCTTCCTAATATACTGGCAAAAGCTATAAAGCTGAACATGAGGCCTAAAACAAGATGGTAGGTAAAGGTAATGATTTTCCCCTGACATGAAGTCCAGTCGTGTCCGACTGGGGTGTGGTGCTCAGGTCCATTTCTAAGCCGAAGAGCTGTTGTAGTCCGTAGACACCTCCAAGGTCATGTGGCCGGCATGACTGCATGGAGCTGTTACCTTTCCGCCAGAGCGATACCTGTTGATCTACTCACATTTGCATGCTTTTGAACTGCTAGGTTGGCAGAAGCTGGGGCTGACAGCGGATGCTCACACCTTCCCACCAACACCCTCACCCATGTATAAGCCAAGGGAACTTTTTTAGCTTAAAAAAGGGCTGAAAAACTAGGCTTATACTTGAGTATATATAGTAATTTTTTCTTCTCATAGACTTAGCATGGGGATTTGGTTAACCTGCTAAAATTCATGAGTAAAACAGGGATTTTGAAACCTGAAAATGGGGCAGGTGAGTTGAACCCCTACCTTCCCCCCTTTGGTTACAGCCCTGGGGTAGATATACCCCTAGGCATGACATGTGTCACGTGGCTTACCTTTATTTGTTTTGATATGCTTTTAAAAGAATAGCATGTGTAAAACAAGGGACCGAATGTGGTTGCCATTCAGCTGCATTTAAAAAAAATGAAACAAATACTTTATTTTTTTCCCCTTTTCAGAACTGGCTAGGGTGAGATCTACACTTCCCTGTATCCTAGGATCTGATCCCAGATTATCTGTTTATCCAAGATTATCTGGCAGTGTAGACTCATATAATCCAGTTCAAAGCAGATAATGTGGATTATCTGCTTTGATAATCTGGATTATCTGATTTAGTAATCTGAATTTTATGGACATGTAGAAGGGCTGAAGCTACCTACTTTAATATGGATACATCCACAACAGCATAACATGAAACAAGGAAAAAGTGCTTATTTACATCTTTTTGTTCCATAAATTATGCAATTGATATTTGTATCCCAAGGATGAACTTTTTCTGTTGACTGAAATCTGAAGAAATTTGAAGAAAATGAATTATTACTATTTATACACCACCTTTTCCCTTGCCAAAGGAGACTCAGGGCCCTTCCACACAGCCATATAACCCAGAATATCAAGGCAGAAAATCCCACAATATCTTTGAACTGGGTTATCCAAGTCCATACTGCCACATATTCCAGTTCAATGCAGATAATGTGGGATTTTATTCAGCCGTGTGGAAGGGGCCTCAAAGTGTCAAAGTATTCATTAATACACTGATGTTATTATACAGTTGTGTGTGTGTGTGTGTGTGGGGGGGGGATATGGATAGATTGCTTATTTGTGTCATTCTTTTAGTGGTCTTCTGTGAACTTAAACAAATGGTGTTGTGTATGCAGTACATCATTTGGAACCATCTGGACTAGCGTTTTCTGGCTGGAAGGGTTCAGGTTGCATCTACACTACCATATAAAATCCAGATTATCTGCTTCAAACTGGATTATATGGCAGTGTGGACTCATATAATCCAGTTTAAAACATAATGCAGATTGTCTGCTTTGATAATCTAGATTATATAGCAGAGTAGACCCTGCCTTAGAACCCTCCTCCCATGTAAATCCGTTTTAGAACAGATCTAAGGCCCTGTCTACATTGCTTTATAATGCAGTATCTGATCCCAGATTATCTGCTTTGAACTTTATTATATGTCTGTGTGAACTCATATAATCCAATTCAAAGTGGATAATCTGGTATCAGATACTGGATTACATGGCAATATAGGTCCAGTCTTAGAAAGTAGACACCTGTTAAGTTTCTAATGGAAAGTGGGTTCACGGGAGGACTCAACGTACTATCAGCACTATCAGAATTGCTTGAATCGATTGTGTTTATTCTTTTCATTCTCAGAAATATTTCAGTTTGGTTTCAAGGTACCTAGAGGCATGTTATCACTTTATGTACTTGACAAACATTATTTTAAGAAAGTTTATGCAAGATCCTGGGAAGTGAGAAGCTGGTGGGACCTTGGGTTGAGGAGATAACATCCAGAATTCAGTATAAATTTGGAGGGATTTACCCAGTAAGTCCTATTCACATTTGCAAAGTTACCAACCAGCATCATGAAACTCCTCTTGATCTTTGCTTTTCTGGGAGCAGCAGGTAAGATTTTTTTAAAATGCATTTGGTCTAATGTATTATGTGACAGTGAGGCAGAATACAGTGGAGAGTTCCGAGATGGCAGGAGTAATTATTTTAGACTATAGATAAGGAAAATTACATTTGTATAATACTTATTTGTATTGGAAACATCTTGCAGCAGATCCATTCTTCAAGCCAATCCTGGACAAATGTTTACTCATTGGGAATTAGGTCATAAGAACAATATCCTGATTATATGCAGTCTAAAAAGATGAGGTTATGGGACACCTTCCTCCAGCTCCCTAACTGGCATGTTGGCATTAAGGTTGCATCATGTTGTGAATAAGCATTTTGCAGCATCCAAGAAATTTTACCACCTTCATTCTTTGCTTTCTTTATCAGTTGCTGCCCCTTTTGATGATGATGATAAGATTGTTGGCGGATACACTTGCCAGAGAAACTCTGTCCCCTACCAGGTGTCACTGAATGCTGGGTACCACTTCTGTGGTGGTTCCCTCATCAGTGACCGATGGGTGCTTTCAGCTGCTCATTGCTACAAATCGTAAGTGCATACCAGCTGTTGTTGCTCTTTCTACATTTGCGAGATTCCCAGGAGATGGGATCAGGCAAGATCTCACAATGTCATCACACAGGGACCCCAAGAAGAACACTCTGACTTAAAATGGATCGCACATACACTATTATGATTGCTTCTATTATTATTTCTCAACTTCTTAACATGGGCCGCAGGAATCACCACACATTGTGGTGAATATGGTGACCATTTCTGGAGGCGTGGGAAACCCATAGTCCCATTCCCCACATTGCCCAGCTTACCTTTAAGCTGACCCCACAGGGTTAAGTGTCAACAGAGGAAGCCTTTGTGTTGCTGTGGTGGAGGTATACACCATTTCCAAGCTAGTTCAACCACAGAGCTCCGCAGGAAGTCCCTTTGTATCATGAGATGTAAACCAGCAGGCTCTGTTGGTCAACTAGGGCTGAACTGGTGTATGCCAATGAAGTAAGCCTCATCTGATGAAGTCAGAAATGTTTCTGAAGATGGGAAGTTAGAAAAATAAGAGTTTAATAAAAAAATAGAGAGAGGAAGGGATAAAGTATGGAGAAGAGGCATGAGTAAAATGAAATACGTGGTAATTTTTTTCAACATTGGTCTCATGATGGGGCCTAAGTAGAAAAAGTGGAAGGCTCCTGCTGTAGAACACATACAAAGTAATTCTATTTATCTTGTCAAGATGCTAATCTGAAAGTTGATTAGATCTAGGCTCCTTCCACACAGCTGTATAAAATCCCACATTATCTGCTTTGAACTGGGTTATATGGCAGTGTGGACTCAGATAACCCAGTTGAAAGCAGATATTGTGGATTATCTGCCCTGATATTTTGGGTTACATGGCTGTGTGGAAGGGACCAAGTTACAAAATCCTGTATGAACGGTTGCAAAGTTAACATTGTAGATGTGTCCCCCTGCGACATAGGACACTGGTACATTTCATTAGTTTGTTTATCTAGAGATTAAGCAGTGCCTAATAATATGCTCAGTACAATATACAATGGTTAATTTTGCAGCCGCATCCAAGTGAGGCTCGGAGAGCACAACATTATGGAGCTGGAAGGTGGGGAGCAGTTTGTCGATTCTGAAAAAGTCATTCGCCATCCCCAATACAACTCTTGGCTCCTGGATAATGACATTATGCTGATCAAGCTGGCAGACCGTGCTGATCTCTCCACACGCATTGCACCCATTAGTTTGGGAGGTGGATGTGCAGCTACTGGGACTAGCTGCCTGATCTCTGGATGGGGCAACACACTCAGCGATGGGGGTGAGTATGAAGAAGAATTGGCCAACCAGACTTTCCTCCCCAAGCATGTAGTTTCAGAAACTTATAATTCAGGCATGGTGGTTTGGATACTGCGATGGCCACCGTATCCATGATTGAGAAGTCCATTTCATTTGCCATTATCTTAATTGTGAGACAGTTTTTATTTCTAGAAAGAGAGATGCTGCTTCTCAAGTCTAGTACCTTTGAATCTGAAAACCTGCTCCTTAATATGCAGAGGAAGTAATTACTGAGTAGTAATGGATCACTTACATATATTCTTAGTTATGGGTATTTTTACTTATTCTATTTATATCCCACGTTTCTCAGAGCTCATAAAGTTGCTTTTAAAAAGTTACTATTCCAAGTTGCTATCCAAAGAAGTTAAGAACCATTAACATTGTATATTGCTGTTCCTTTCCCTTCTCTGTGAAGTGATCCTCAACTGATCTACAGCTCATATCAAAATCCATCATTTTGGCTTCAATACCTGCCCTCAACTGATTCACAAGGTTGAATTAGGCCTTTTCTACACTGCCATATAAAACCCAGGCCCCTTCTACACTGCCATATAATCCAGACAATCAAAGCAGATAATCCAGATTCTGAGCCATATCCCTTTCTCCTTTCAGTAAATTACCCTGACCTTCTGCAGTGCCTGGACGTTCCAATCTTATCTGATGAAGACTGCAGAAATGCTTACCCAGGACAAATCACTGACAATATGATCTGTGTTGGATCCTTAGCAGGTGGCCAAGACTCTTGCCAGGTAAGATAATATGCCTTTGAATTGCTTGAAAACAATTAATTATTAAGTTGAAAACAGATGCCAGTTTTTAGGAAACACTGGGTTGCAGACTCTTATTTATAACATACCTTACATGCATCATGGAAACATCCATCATTGGAAACATCATGGAAACACAAGAAGAATGCAAAATGTATAATTATTGTTTTAAAATATCTGGGTGAAGTTTGGTGGTTCGTGAGGGAAGGGCTTGTTGGTGAGCATGAGCTCAGGCTTGCCAGAGAGGTTAAAAACAATAAAAGGGGCTCTTTCCAATATGTCCATAGCAAAAGGAAAAGCAAGGAAATGGTAGGAAGGCTACATATAGGTTTTTTGGTTGTGTCAGAAGCAACTTGAGAAACTGTAAGCAAGTAATGGCAAAACAATAGTCCCCCTCTATTCTGTTTTTGTCACACTTCACCTGGAATAACGCTGTGTCCAGTTCTGGGCACCACAATTTAAGAAGGATATTGACAAGCTGGAATGTGTCCAGAGAAGGCTGACCAAAAATGATCAAAGGTTTGGAAACCAAGCCTTCTGAGGAACAGGTTTGGGTTCTGGGAATGTTTAGCCTGGAAAAAAGACTGAGAGGGAATATAATAGCTATGTTTAAACATTTGAAAGGATGTCACATTGAAGGAGGAGCAAGTTTGTTTTCTGCTGAGAGTAGGACATGGAGCGATGGATTCAAATTGCAGGAAAAGATATTCTACCAAAGAACTGTTTGGTAGTAAAATATGCTGCCTTTAAGTGGGGTAGAGGCTTTAAAGCAGAGGCTGGATGATCATTCTTTGATAATGCCTTGATTGTATTTTCCTGCACGGCATGGGGATGGCCCCAGTGGTTTTGCCCACCTCTATGGTTCTATGATTATTGGGTGGCCTCCTGGAAACTCATGATCACTTTCTAATGTATCACTGCTGTTGTGTGTCCTGTCTCACATTAAGGCCTGTTCATACAATTGATTTTAAGTGGAGATAACTTATTTTAATGTTTGTGTATACTTACAGTTTATTTTATTTTCCGGCACTGAATGTTTGCTGTATATATGTTGTGTATATATGGAGTGAGAAGGGTGGAATATAAATGCTTTGAATAAATAAATAATACATGTCGATAGGGATCCACTTTCCAAAAGAAATATAGATTTATTGAGAATACAGGAGCAGTATCGTAGGGCATGTCCATGAATTGCATGAATTATGTAGTCTGTGAGAACAGAACATTTCTACTTATGAACTTTTCCCAAAATGGCAAACTTTGCAAAAGATAAATTCTCCAGCTAGATGGATAATCTTACATGTGGACCTCTCTTCTAATTCCAACCCTCTTTCTTATCTTGCAGGGAGATTCTGGTGGCCCAGTGGTATGTGGCGGAGTTCTCCAGGGCATTGTTTCATGGGGAATAGGATGTGCTTTGCCTGGCTACCCTGGTGTCTACACCAAGGTCTGCAACTATATCGCCTGGATCCACGAAACCATGAATGCCAATTAAAACAACTTTTCACCTCTTGTTTCAACATGCTGGTGTACTTTGCTTCTCACAAAATTGATCTTGATATAGAAAATAAAGAAAATAGATAGATACAGATTACAAAAATACCCCACTTGTCTTTGTCTTTTTGTTTAAGTTGTCCGATTAGATGGATTAAACAACACAACCACATTGGAGTCTTAGGACTTCATCACATGAAAGTTTTCCCCTATTTTATCTCCATTTTAACACACTGACACTGGTTCACCCGCCATGATCTGCTCCATGGGAAGGAGAGAGATGGTGTATTCAGAAAGTGGGACATTTGCAAGGGAGACGTTTGGTCACTTTGGGGCTTCTTTCTCAATGGAAGAGGAAGAAGTGTGCTTTTGGAGTCTTAGATTTTGTGCTGGAAGTCAGATTCTGCTATATGGAAAACAGAGATCTGGTCCTTCGCACTGAGTTCCATGGAGGCCGTCCCATGACACATGGCCACTTCCAGTTCATGGGAATCCGTCCTGTTAGTATGTTAAAATGGAGAGAAGATTCCACTTGATTCAAGAAAGTGGGAGGAAGTGGGAAGAAGACAGGGAAAAGACATCGGATGGCTGTCCATTCCCGAAGAGAGACCTTACTGGGAGAAAACAGGATAAGACATGTCTCCACTTTTCTCAGTGCTTTCTCCCACTTCCCTACCACCAGTTTGAAAAGGTCCTAAGACATCATCATTTCTTCTTTCTCTTTCCTATTGTTTCCCACTTACTTACTTTTCTGGAAATATTATGGAAATTATTCTGGCTATAGCCAAGAAAAAAAATCATAAGAAACAATATTACTGCATTGCAAAGCAAAAGCAAATCCCATAATTCTGTATTCAGTGTCAGCAATGGGGAAACATGGAGCAAGGCTTCTGGTTCTGAAAGCTTTTGTTTTGTGCTCCAGTTAAATTCTGCTGCTAGTTTGCTTCTGCATTTGAGATATCATGGGGATGGATGCAACATTTCTCTGACAATATTCTGATGGGTTGCTGTGAGTTTTTCGGGCTGTATGGCCATGTTCCAAAAGCATTATCTCCTGACGTTTCACCCACATTCATGGCAGGCATTCTCAGAGGTTGAGAGGTCTGCTGGAAACTAGGCAAGTGGTGTTTAATATCTGGGAATATCCAGGGTGGGAGAAAGAACTCTTGTCTGCTTATGATGAAGTAGGCCTAAACATCTTAAAGGCATCAGATCCTATCTGATCTTGGAAGCTAAACAAGGCCAGCCTGGTTAGTACTTAGATGGTGAACTACCAACAGGTGTTCCTTGTTATATTTCAAAGGAAGGAACTTGCAAAACTACCTCTGAGTATTCCTTACCTAAGAAAGCACCATAAAATTTAAGGGACCATCATAAGTTGACAAGTAACAAAAAAACACACCCACCCTCACCCCTATGAAACCCCTTTCCCTTTTTGTCTGTGGATTTTGTGAAGATTTTGAAAAAAAAATGCTTCACACTTATTCAAGGTACAGGTTTCCCTCTACTGGAAGCTTTAAGAATTTTTTTTCTGAAGAGCAAACCACATTCCTATAGTGTTGGTGCATTTACATTGTAGGGTGAATGCAGTTCGACACCAATTTGACTGCCCTGACACAATACTATGGAATGCTGGTAACTTAAATTTGATTAGGAACTGACAGTCTTTGGCAGAGAAGGCCAAAGACTTGTAAAACTACAACTCTCATGATGCCATAGCATTGAGCCAGGGGCAGTTCAACTCCATTCATTCTACAGAGTAGATGCACCCAAAGGCTAATCACAAAATGATCCAACAAATTTTCCATTTATCCTGTCTCATTCATCACAACACAGTGAAGAGCTATGCTTCAGCCTCTATGGAGCAATTGACAGAAATAGTACAGTGCTCTCGACTTGCTCCTCTCTTCTACATTTCAAGTAGACCGTCTCCTTTTTAAAATGTAAAACATGGCAACTACACTCAAATCCCCTCTATACACATACATGCTTTTTTAAAAAGGGTTTTCAAAATGACTGAAGGGAATGGAGAAAGGGCTGTTATTGACACTCCTGGCTCCAGGCCATTAAGCATTCATTGTGAATCCAGGGTGGCCAAAGTGTGACCGGCACCTCAGAAGTCCCTGGTTCCAAATGTCCTAAAATGCACTCTAAGGGGTATGGAGGGTATTTCCCCATGAGACGGTAGGCCTCTTGAGGGTCAAAAAATATGTTTTCAAAAATATTTTTTGCCTCCAAATGCATTGTAGAGGGTATTTGTACCACATCTCACCATTATAGTTGTTGTTATTGTTGTTATTTTCTTACCCACCTCTCCCTATGGATCAAGGCAGAGAACAACAATAGGTTAAAATACAAATGGAAGCAAATAAATTAGAACTCTTATATTTGCTGTATTCTTCTTTTCTTTATAAATGTGTATAGTCCTTTCATCCAGATGTTATTAAAATTAGACCCAAAAATTATTAATTATGAGATGAAGCTCCATTGGGACATACAGTGAGCTCATGTTGTTGTAGTACCCTTTCATGAATTGCCCTGGAATGTTGCCCAACACACCCTGGAGTTCAGGAAATAATCCCTCCATAATCATAACCCCTTCACAATACACCAGGAGACTCAAGGTGGGGAAGGGGGACACAACAATGGGCTTCTGCAAGAGCCTAGAGGTGTTTTTGCTGTTCCTCCCAGACGTAATCTGATTTATTCATGTGAACACTTTCTTGTTCGTGTCACCAAACTGGAAATCTACCTCTGAGCTCACATTGATAAGATCAGCATTCTAAGAGCCCCTTGGTCTCTCTGGACAGTCAACCATTGTATTAAGCAGATTTGGAATATTAAGACCCCTTCAGCCCATTTTCTCTTACCACACCATATTCCTTTCTGTCTGCATCCTTCTCCTGAGTGGATCAATAAACAAACACAAGCATCCAAATATTATATTGACAGATTATTAAATTTCCCTTCAAACCCAGGCCCCTTCCACACAGCCCAGAATATCAAGGCAGAAAATCCCACAATATCTGCTTTGAACTGGGATATCTGAGTCCACATTGCCATATATCCCAGTTCAAAGCGGAAAATGTGGGATTTTATTCAGCTGCGTGGAAGGGGCGCCAGAGACAAATCAGCACCAATTTCAAACAGTGCATCCTAGCCAACCAGCCTGTAGGTTCTAGCCTGCTGCATTCGGGACCAATTGACACTCAGCGCATCAGAAGTCCTTTGTTTCAAACTGCTGCCACAGTGCTATAAACATTTCTGTGTGTTTGCATTGAGATATGTCAGTTTCCACTGACATCCTCTTTGGCCATTGAGAATAAAACCTCTGATTTTGCCTTCAACTCCTCTGTCTCATCTGAACTTCTGAAAAGCTTGACACACTGGGCTCTGAGCCGGCGGTTATTTTGGAAGCTGAAATCACATATCATAGAATCATAGAATCAAATAGAGTTGGAAGAGACCTCATGGGCCATCCAGTCCAACCCCCTGCCAAGAAGCAGGAATATTGCATTCAAATCACCCCTGACAGATGGCCATCCAGCCTCTGTTTAAAAGCTTCCAAAGAAGGAGCCTCCACCACACTCCGGGTCAGAGAGTTCCACTGCTGAACGGCTCTCACAGTCAGTTCTTCCTCATGTTCAGATGGAATCTCCTCTCTTGTAGTTTGAAGCCATTGTTCTTGAGTCCTAGTCTCCAGGAAGCAGAAAACAAGTTTGCTCCCTCCTCCTGTGGCTTCCTCTCACATATTTATACATGGCTATCATATCTCCTCTCAGCCTTCTCTTCTTCAGGCTAAACATGCCCAGCTCCTTAAGCCGCTCCTCATAGGGCTTGTTCTCCAGACCCTTGATCATTTTAGTCGCCTTCCTCTGGGCACATTCCAGCTTGTCAATATCTCTCTTGAATTGTGGTGCCCAGAATTGGACACAATATTCCAGGTGTGGTCTAACCAAAGCAGAATAGAGGGGTAGCATGACTTCCCTAGATCTAGACACTATGCTCCTCTTGATGCAGGCCAAAATCCCATTGGCTTTTTTTGCTGCCACATCACATTGTTGGCTCATGTTTAACTTGTTGTCCACGAGGACTCCAAGATCTTTTTCACACACTGCTCTCGAGCCAGGCATTGTCCCCCATTCTGTATCTTTGCATTTCATTTTTTCTGCCAAAGTGGAGTATCTTGCATTTGTCCCTGTTGAACTTCATCTTGTTAGTTTTGGCCCATCTCTCTAATCTGTCAAGATCGTTGTGAATTCTGCTCCTGCCCTCTGGAGTATTGGATGCTTAAATTGTATTCTGTTTTAGCAACTGAATTGCTGTTTTAGCAACTGAATTCTCAGATTACTGCTCTGTACTAGAAATTAGGGAACCAGCGAACAGTTCATCGGGAGGGGGAAGTTAATTTATACTTCATGGGACAATGTTGTCATTTTGTCCCCTGTAATTACAATCCTGCAAGATGTCTACCAAGATCTCTATCGCTTTTAAGTTCTAATTGATTTGCTGTGCTCCCTTTTAAACATATTTTCCCATCTTAAAAAAATGTTTAAAATTTCATATAGTTCAAACTTACAGGAAATATAATTGGACAACATTACATGTTGCCCTTAGAGGTTAATTTATTCTTAACATGCAGCATTGCCTGTGTATCAAGCTTTGTGTTATTAGTCTTCTGAAGTTCCTACCAATTCTTGCCAATTCCCAAACTCTACACATAAACACCCAGCACAGGAAAATGGCCTTTGCTGTGATAACTTGACTTTCTTGTTCCGTTGTGATGCTTATAGGAATAAGTAAAGGTAAAAGTTGTCCCCTGACATTAAGTCCAGTCGTGTCCGACTCTGGGGGTTGGTGCTCATCTCCATTTCTAAGCCAAAGAACTACCGTTGTCCGTAGACACCTCCAAGGTCATGTGGCCAGCATGACTGCATGCAGCGCCATTATAGGAATGATAGCCGCCAATAAACCAAAGTCATCTGAATACTAGGAAGAAATAAAATTACACATACGTGCAAAACTGAGGGTTATAAACCCTTTTTTAAAATGTAAGTGATTTGATAGAAATTTTATAATCTAAATCCAAAAACAACCTCAGATTTACT